GATTTGTGTACTTGGCTGGCTTTGAGACAAACTTTAAGTGCGATGTTTAATGATAACACCCGTTTGCCTAAACTGAGGTAGGTGGGCTAGGGATTGGGTCTGTGACTTAGTAGCTTGATCATTGGACTATTGTACCATTTATAAAAGCAAATCCATAAGAAAGCATGTAATGAAGTTTAAACATTTGATTTTAACAATGAATTTTACTAACACAAAAAGAACACTACATGTAAATCTTGAGAGGCTAAACGATTTATCATCATTAGTTACCAATTTACCTACTAATGATAGTCAGTTCTGTTTATACTGAGAGAAGAATATTTACTGAACATAGGATATTCGCTTATAGTCACATGCATAATTTCATCTTCGTGTTTGTTAACAAAGAATGTGATATTAGCCTCTTTAACTAATGATCCTGCCCCCAAATGCCCTGGTATGGACGAGAGTGGGGAGAGTCCACTCTCCCTCTCCAAATGCTCTCACATGGTCACGCGTATATAACATCTGCCAGGGAAGTCCTACTCACTGCCTTCTTGTGGCGGGGTGTTGTTCATGAAATTGAGAGGACGAAAAGCGAATGTCCGGCGCTTTAACCGGGTTGGTGGACACGGAGAGTCCATCTAGGGGAGTTGGAAAACCCTGATTCCAAACCAATGGTATACATGGGCTGGCTCCAGTATCCTGAAGGGACAAATGGTGTATGAACCAATTGTTGGTCACCGACTGACATGGGACTGCATCTCCTTACGATGCTCAACTGACTTGTGGATCAGATCTTCAAATCGAAGGCTCAGGGTGTGGCTCTCTAAGAAAACCACCTTCTTCGGTTTGGGCACCTGTGCAATATGGCAGCCCTCGCACAAATCAAATGAGATTTGTATGGCGTATATGTATTTGGTGACTCCTTGTACCAATATCTATGTATTCAAATAAAAAACTAATGATCCTACTCAACACTTACTTTATTTAGATTATCTTACTTTCTATTTCAACGTGGTTATTCTCCTTCATCATTCATTCAATTACTGTTTACATCACTTTTACCACAACTGTTTATAATTAGTAAGTCCGATGAACTCAATCAATTTCTATGCAGATAAATGCATATAATGAACCAGATAGCTGTAGTTAAAGTGTAATTATAGCGTTCAACACATACAAACACACACACACAAATATGTACTGCAGTTGTATAAGATTAACCTTGACAGTGGATTGATTAGATGAAAGAAAAATATGAGTAAAGAATCAGATAAAATTGATGAAAAAGGTACATGCTAACTGAACCGATTATTTATTATTATTATTCACTCCAAGGTCAATAATCCTTGTAAACAAGAAGTTATGTAATAAAAAGTTACATTGTGTTTACGTCTTGTCTAAATGATAGCTAATTATGCATATATATGTACCAAATATTTTTCAAACAATTTAAGTAATGTTAGACCACCATTGAAAACTTGGAAGCACAAGATGAATGTTTTGCACAAGGATAGGACTCCTCAGCAGTGCGCATTCACGATCCCACACACGGGACTCGAACTCAGGATCCTCAGTCTCGTGTACGACAGTTTAACCTTTAGACCACTGAGCCGGCATCCAACGCCTTAAAGTCTAACTTTAACCAATCCACGATATTGCGCGATCGTTCACCATTGTTTTCAGTGAGTAACTGTCTTACACAAGAACGAATGCTCTGGATTTGATTCTCGAGTGAGGAATCGTGGATGCGTACTCATGAAGACTCCTATACTACGATGAAAGGACCGTCCAGTGCTTCCAGGTTTTCGATGGTGTTTTAACATTTATCAATTCATGATCTGCATAAACTGATAATTTAAGAAATGTTCCTACCTAATACAACCTATTCTTCAACATGAATTATGAATAAAACAACCAATAATTTTAGCAATAAACCCATAGTTCAGTATAGTGTGTACAACTGTTATTTATAAGAAATAAATAGGAGTGCTTATAGAGTGAAAACCTTTTTGTTTGATTAGGAAAGTAAAAAGAGGAAATCTGAGTGGTGAAGATCAAATGTCTTGATGAATATCATACATAGAGACGAACTGTAAGTTTGCCTGAATGTCAGTTGACCGGATACCATTAGCAACAGTCTACAGTGGGAGAAAACAAACCAGCTTCTAGTTGAAGATAAAATTAGGAAAAATGATGAAAATGGATAGGACATACATTATGCAAATCACCAAACTCTCTTGCATCACGGGAAAAGCGCTAACTTTGAATCCTGAAGGGAAGCGGAAAAGAGGAAGGCCAAAGAAAACATTCCGTCGCGAAATAGAAACAGATATGTAAAGGATGAATGACCACTGGAGAGAGCTGAAAGGATTGCCCAGAACAGGGTTGAATCCTGGTGGGCGGCCTATGCTCCTTCAGGAACAGTAACAGGCGTAAGTAAGTAAGTAACCGCTCTATATTAAATTATTGGAGTGAAATACATTTTGTAGCTCAAGTCACAAAATATAAACACAAGATCATCTGAAAAGAAACGTTAGCTTAAATGCTAACATATCTCAGAGCTTTTCCTTACAAAATGAAGATGATTTCTGCTAACCAAAGTAACTAACGCAACACATACAAATACTACATGAATGTAATAAGAATTAGAGACCGTCAATCACTTTTTATGCACTAGAAGGTAATCTTGAAATTATACCACTCATATTGAAGTCGTTAATCTTACATTGTGCCCAGAATATTTCACAAGAATTCACTCTTATTCATCTATTTGATAATTATGAGTATTATCAGAAGGAATTTGTGGAGATTGTAGTGATTTCAATCATTAAGATCATGAGTCAGTTGAAGCTAGACCACCATGGAAAACCTCGCGCGCGAAACCAGTAGGTCCTGGGTTCGAATCTCGCAGGGGGTGAGGTCGTGGATGCGCACTGCTGAGGAGTCCCACAATAGGACGAAACGGCCGTCCAGTGCTTCCAGGTTTTCCATGGTGGTCTAGCTTCAACTGACTCATGATCTTAATGATTGAAATTATGAGTATATTTGGAGGGCAGGGGGGACAAATTTATCAAGGAAATATTTCCATTTTGAACAACTTTTCATAGTGGCATTAAATCAATAGGTTTGACAGATATTGGATAATAAAAGTGTGTTACTTTTATGGTTTACATCATAGACTGAAAACTAAGAAGTACTGGTGTTCTAGTAAGAAGCCGTGATTAGTCCTAACGGAGTGGGATGCGAGACAGTTACACATTAAGGGCATTGAGAGGTTGTTGCGCAGTAAATGTAAACCACTGGAAATCAAATCAGCAACCTGAAGGTTAATGGTTTGATGTGAGATCTGAAAGAGCTGGATCCGATTTCCAGATGGAAAGTCATGGATGTGCACTCCCAAGGAATTTCATACTAGGACGAAACAGCTGTCCGACCGTGTCTTGTTTTTAGTGATTGTCTAACTAAAATCTGTGGTATAAACTAAACTAAATAAGACCCTAATACTAATAAATTACCAAGTAAAGGTGTATGGGTTCAGATTTATATCACGAAATTCTAGTGAGATTAAATGGAGCTTTATCTGACCATCTAAAACGAAGTAAGAAGAGTGTGCGGTCCGTACTCTCAGCCGATTAGTCTGAGTAAAGCGGTTTATTTAAACATAAAGCTAATGAACCAATTTTAAGTGATAACAACCATAAAACCAACCAAATAGTGATGACTTATTCAATAACATTTACAATTTATATTATCTATGAGTCCACATGGAAGTAGTTTAAGGACAATAAGAAATTGGAATTGAATTGAACTTGGATATCTACGAGTTGTTTATTTGAAAACATTAATATTGGTACAAGGAGGCATCAAATGTATGTGCGCTACACAATAAAAATGAGCTTATGAAGAGATAAAGGATGGAATAACTCTCGAAATTAATCTTTATTGGGCTCTTCCAATAAATCTTCCCTGAAAGATCATTTTTTAAAAGCAGTCAGGACTAGAACAAAAGAATTTATAGTATTCAGGCATCGAAGTGAAACTAGGGAGTTATTACTGTTAATTTATGGCAAATTAATGATTAACATATATTCTTACATCCACAAACATTCTACTGATGATATCAAGATGAGATGAAACTTATGTTTTGAACTATACTAAAATACAAATAGTGGAGAATACTTGTTTAGTCCGTTGAACGAAACCATGGTCGTAAATTTTAAGTAGCTGTCGGTTGTGACAACATAATTAGATAGAAGGATATTTCAACCAATCAGTTAACAGAAATGTAGAACCTGGTTGATTTGTGCATCGGTTCAATTTACTATACTGTATCAGCATATAAAACACTAACCATAGACTAGATGACTCGAGAAGATAGTGAACTTATGGGACAAAAGGATAAGATAGTTTGAAAACTCAAGATCTAACAAAAGTTAAATAGGAAATGAATTTGTACTGTTGTGCAAGCCAAGTCAGACAACAACTCCAACAATTGGTTAAGGTAATTGTATGGAATTCAACTAAGTTAGTCTGTACGTACAACACAGACTAGTCCAAAAGTTGATGAACTCACAGGACAGTAAATAACTACAAGTGGATGCGCATACTAGGACGAAACGGCCGTCCAGCTTTTCCATGGTGGTCTACTAGCTTCAATTGATTCATGATTTCAATTAGTGAAATTTCTAAAATCTCCACAAAACCCCTTTTGATAACTATAAGTTTTGTCAAAACGAAAGTATTTAGAGATGAGATTTGATCGGAACTTTAGTGATTGAGAATTAGGCATAGTTTTTACAGCCTTTAATCATCGAAGGAATTTTACCAACACACTGAATTGAAAATGTTTACAGTGAAACAAGGAGAAATCTAACATTTAAATGGAATAGACAGATCAACCGTTCAATGTCAACAACAATGTCATTTGATCTACAGTATATCGATTAGCGGACAAAAGTAGACTTACTGTATCGTATAAAACGAAAAGAAAAAATAAAATCTGATGCTTTACTTACCTTTCTAATACATTTAGTAAATTTTCAGCTGCTTTATATGTTTCTTCATCTTTATCAAATAAACTGGAATATGGACTATTTAATGGTGATCCAGATATACTACTAGAACCAATATTATTAGTAGTAGTGGTTACAGTTGTCATTGAATTCACTAACATATCACTATTATCTAAATTTGGAGGATTATTCACTAAATAATTGCGTAGAACAGTGATAAGTTCGATTAGACAATGAGCTGCTGATTCATGTGCCTAATTATTAAAAAGGATAATATGGAATAGTGAGAATAATTGAATGAAGTAGTAAGAAAGATGGAAGCTACCTAGGCCAATGAGATCACATAACAAACACAACAAAATCAGATCATTGAAATGTTGGTTATTGTTTCTATTTCAGACCTTTTATGCATCCGAATGCTCTGGTACGGTCAAGAGTGAGGAGAGTCAGCTATTCCTCTCGAAATGCTTTCACATGGTCACGCTCTCACAGCCACTATCAGAGAAGTCCTACTCAATGCCTTCTCGCGGCAGAGGTGTTGTTTACGAAATCGAGATGACAAAAAGCCAATGTCCGGAGCTTTAACCGGTTAGGTGGATATGGAGGAACCACTTATAGGAGTTGGAAAACCCTGATTCCAATCAAATGGTGTACATAGGCTACATAATCCTGAGGGAACAAATGGCGTCTGAACTAATTGTTGGTCACCGGCTACCTTGTGTACTAATACACAAAGTATGGCAACAATCGACTGGGTTCTAAAATGTTTCAACTTGTTTATCTATTTATACCTTACTTAGATGATTCTATAGTAACATTAAATGTAATCAAAAGATTCATAATTGAACAAAAATGGAAAATGAAAACAACTTGATACAGATGAGGAAGTGATAGAAGTCAATACTTAGTTTACGTCAATATTAACCAAGCTACATTTCAGTCAGTCAGCTACAACGTAGGACCAGGCACATATGTGCATCAGTCCACAATGGCACACCACATTAGCACAAGATGAACATCAAATTCATAGTAGTTAATTCAATGGTGGTAATACATAAAAGAAAGATTGTGTATAAGGATATGATACAGGGGGAAATTAGTTCATAGAAAGAAATATATGAAGCGATTTTAATCTCACAGTTTAAAGAAAAACATAGAGTGTATACACCGACACCGTTGTGTTCGATTCTGAGCCATGTCACCAAGAATTTCCAACTGTTGGTTACGAAAGTCACGCGGACCCTAACCAAGTAGTCTACATCTACCAACATGGCTCAGTTTAGAAATTAGTGACCTCAAGCAAAGATGCCACGTTTTGGTTTGGTTGCCCATAACCAAGCTACATTTCAGTAAACAAAATGACTGTGTTGTTAATCCTCAAAAGAAAAAAAAGAAGATTAACAAACCTTACTTAACGGCTGGATATTACTAACGTATTCACTAGAATTGTATGTTCATTTGTAAAGAAAAAACAAGGTTAATGAGAATATTTTAGTGATAATTACTGCTAGTTAACTCCAAGAGATTGTTTTGCCTAAATCCGTAACATAAGCATTGTTCTACTGAAACACAATAAACAATTGTATTAAAGTTATAAGTTCAACTGTTTATGTAATATGCACATGTATATTTAAATGGAGTGTCACAAAATGAGTTGAATATGATCGACAAATGGATGATTCACATTATGATGTTAGATTAAATTAGCGAAATTTAACATTAATGGTAGCCAGTCTTTTTTATAAGCATCGTTAGACCTCCTACATATAGGTATCTGTTCAAATTGTTAGATTTCATAATCAATGCAGTGAGAACAAACTAAATGATTCAAGTTAGCTCGGTAACCAGAATACAGTGATCTTGAGTGCTGCTGGAAGCATGAGGGCGGTTATCACTTCCCGGGTGCCCACACCGTGGAAGGGTTCTTCTGGAGGTAGCTGAAAAAAAATTGGATTAAAGGTGGTCTTAGTGACCTGAGAGCGTGACCGCAGTGCCCAAGGGCAACTGTTTGAAGTCGGTAACACACTACCTTCTTGTGAGTAATTTTTGTATTAGCTCCGTACTTGTTGAGACCTTACCGTAAGAGACGGATATCCGTGGGATGAGGCGAGGTGTACATTTTTAGGGTCGACCTTTTCTAACCCAACCCCTCCTTGTGGGAAGGCAGCATCGCTGTTATGCTGGTTGTCTGAAGGAAACACTTTACTGTTGTCACACCTCTGTACAGTCAGCAGTACGACATTGCCTTCGGACCTTGGGTTTGTTACATTTAGTCTTACCGCTCTTCAACCGATCGGAGGAACAATCGTTCTAGCCAGTATAGCTCGATTGTTTCATCACAATAGGCAAGCCCGATCAATATGTCAAGATAGCAACAACGGTCGCGGCTCGATAACCACGATCGATAATTGAAGATGTTAGGTGATATGGCAAATGATCAGGAAAAATGATGAATATCCAATCAACTTCTTCTTGAATCATATCCTCAATATCTGGTCTTTGTGATTGTTATTTCAAATACATTATTCCAACTGCTTTATTATTCATCACATCAATCTCTTGATGCTTGGTTTAGTATGAGATTTTAAGACAAAGTATATTTTTGCCAGGCTCTACAATTGATTGCAACTGGTTAAACTTAGTCAGAAGTACTGAAAACTTGTTATTTTGATTCATCTACTTTAAATCTTTTCATATATAAAAGTATGTAAATTATGATACCCAATGTCAAATTGAAACTTGTATGTTATTAACATTATTCTTTTGACACAAAAAAAAACGAACTAAATACAACATGAAATAATAATAATCACACTTATTACTATAGGAAACTACTAGTAATGCAACAATTATTGATGAAAGAAAGACTTACATCAGACGAATAGATTGGATCAAGTTTTTCAATAAGACGTTCAACAAGTCGATCGGTTTTAAACCACTAAGAAGACATGGAAAGTAAAGTAGTTAACAATATAAAAAAAATATCAGAAGGGGTTTAGTGGATATTATAGTAATTTTATTAGTTGAGATCATGAGTCAATTGAAGCTAGACTACCATGGAAAACCTGAAAGAACTGGACGACCGTTTCGCTTTTTTGTGGGACTTCTCAGTGGTGCGCATCCACGACCCCGTCTCGTGAGATTCCGACCTAGGACCTATCAGTCTGGCGCGTGAGTGCTTAAGCACTAGACCACTGAGCGGGCATCCAATGGTGTTTATGTCTAACTCCAACTAATCCACGAAATTGAGCGACACATCCACCATTGTCATCAGTGAGTTACTATCTCACAACGGACCCAGTTCAACTCCACTGGAGATAAAACAAATTTGTAAATTGCATCCCAATATATTCGACATATTTGCTGAAGGATATTTCATTAATCAATTAATGCGAATGAGATACTCCATTTAGCTGTCACTGTGGTGTGTGCTACTAATGTCGACAGATATAAGTAGTACGCACCATCAATCGAAAGTGAAATGCCTGGTATCAGGTTAAGAAAATCGAAGAGAAGAGAACGAGGACAGTGAATGATTGGTGTGGAAATGTAGGAGCAATCCAGTCTGAGACAATTGACTGACAATTTGCAAATGAAGTATTTACTGTATGGTTCTTAGATTTTACTAAGAGATTCTGGAATTTTGTGTTCAAATACATTTGATTGCCCCACTTGTGTTCTCGTTTATTACACTATGAGCGAAGCACATAAAGATTAGTAAAAGAATCGGTGGCTTATTTTTTTAAAAAGTATTTGGCCTCCAGTCAGTTTTTCCCAGATTGAAATCTTTTCACGCTTATTTTATTTTGGGTAGCCGTGTTGTAGTACTAGTCCACCACACATGAGTAATATGACTCGAAGCTAAGTACCTAAGCCTGAAACATTGTAGACAAGTCATAGTAAAGATTAATGAACTAAGAAATGATTTTAGATGATGCACTTCATATAACAGGAACGGATAATTTACACTATGACGGGTATTAGATTACCATAATAACTAAGTACCTGATGATATGTAATGTAGTGACAGTAGAAGGATTCACAAAGACATCGCACGCGATAAAGAAACTTAAAAAACTATAAAGCATGATTTTCGCACATTACCAACGGAAATATTACCTTATCCCATAACACCACATTATAAAAGGTAGTGAGTTTGAGTCCGACAATATGAACCTTAACAATAGGATTTGGGTACATCAAAGCTGACGAGTACCAAACACAAAGTAATGGGTATCCTAGATCCTGTTACTAGCTACAATCCATCCATTCTAAATAAAAGGTAAGTTATAACTGATGATACAACTGAGATGAATATATTTTAGCTGAAACGGTTCATCCTACTTCTATAAAGAATGTAACAGAAAATTACAGGAGACTTACTACTACCTTAGTGTACATGCAATATCTGCTAGTCTCAGGCTAAAATCACTTCACTAACAAGTGACAACTAGCATGAAATCCAAATCTGAAGTTTTCTACTGACTTCTTCCAACCACTTAACACTAAAATACAGTACACATACACACATATGATGTCGAATTAGACTACTGACAAAATTGCTAATTGACAGAGAGAATCTGATCACATTGCAACATGGTTGATAGTATTCGATCTGCACTAATAATAAGGACTAGACACGCATGACATTGATCACCACCCCCAGTGACCAATCAATTGTGATTACATCTCAGTCCTACAGGAGGTCAGTGACACGGGATCGAATCCGTTAGGGAGCACCAGTTCCCTCAAGATTACAGGTACACCTTGCTGACAAGCGCCAAGTAGCACTAAACCCGGGTTCAGGATTTCCTATCGACTATCTCCAACAACCATCTAGTCTCACAATAGTGCACGCAGTGTCGAGTCACCTAGACTGGCTTGGCCATATTGCAACATGGTCGATAGCATTCGATCTGCACTAATAATAAGGACCAGACACACATGACACAGATCACCAACCAGTGATTGGTTACTACTCAGTGATCAATCAATGGGAGAGATTACTACTTATTATAAAATATCGACTATACACAATAAACAAGTTTCTGTAAAAGATACTTGAATGATTATTGTATTACTTGTTTACAATTAGTACAATTTGAACAAAATAGAAAACTTAAACGCTTACTTCAAAAATAATATGTTGTTGTTTTGTTTCTTGTTGAGATAATTGTATAATTAAATCAGCCACAGAGCATGAATCCAATGATAAGAATAACTGATCAAGAAATTCTTTTGATGATCGCAAATAAGGTATAATCTGTAACAGAAACATAGTTATATTCCAGTTGAAAGATAAAAATATTTATGATGGTTTAGCATAAGCACTACATATCTATTTATTTATACACATAAGCATTGGTACAAGGAGGCACTAAATAGATATGCGCCACATAAATCATTCGACTTGTGTGGGGGCTAAGATACTGTCCGGGTGCCCAGACCGAAGTATGTGGTTTTCTTAAAGGGTCACACCCGGAGCCTTAGACCAAAAGGTCTGACCCACAAGGCCGTTGGAGTAACGTCAGGAGATGCAGTCCCACGGTAGCCAGCAAGCAATAATCGGCTCATACGCTATTTTCTCCCTCAGGATACTGGAGCCAGCCCATGTGCACCATTGGTTTGGAATCAGTGTTTTCCAACTCCCCTAGGTGGTTTCTCCGTGTCCACCAACCCGGTTAAAGCGCCGGACATTCGGTTTTCGTCTTCTCAATTTTGTAAAAAAAAACACCCCGCTCCGCGAGAATGCATTGAGTAGAACTTCCCTGATAGTGGTTGTATGTACGTGACCATGTGAGAGCATTTCTAGAGGGATAGTTGATTCTCCTCACTTTCAGCCGTATCAGGGTATTTACGCTGAACTTCAAGGTTTGTTACTTCCTTATCGCACCGTTCAATGCTTTAAGGACATAGACGCCTAAGCACTAGTAGTTCATATACGTCTTCTACCTCTATAAAACATGTTTCATGGATAACTGGGCACTATGCCCAAAGGCTGACAAACATACCCTCAAACAAATAGCGAAGAACAAATCATAAACCATTAATCGTTGAGTTATGTTAAATATTAAGTCTCATGTTAAGTTTATGCATTCAAGAGTTTTGTTTGTAAGTTAAGATCGTTTGAGTAATCCAACCATTATATGTACATCCATCTCCATATCGGAAACTAATAACTAAAGGAAAAAAACTAAGCACATAGGATATATCAGAAGGGGTTTTTGTGGATACTACATTAATATTATTAGTTGAGATCATGGGTCAATTGAAGCTAAACTGCCATGGGAAACCTGGAAGCACTGAACAACCGTTTCGTCCCATTATGGGACTCTTCAGTAGATGCGCATCCACGATCGCACCCCGCGAGATTAGAACCCAAGACCTATCGTTCTCGCGCGCGAACGGTTAACGTCTAGACCACCGAACCAGATATAATTCGAAAAGGATAAATAAAACTCAATAATGAAATGTATGAAATGATATGACAGTTGAAAATCTAGAGTACAACAAAGAGTTGATAAATTTATGTTATCTGTCAGTGATTTCCAGTCAATTCGGTAAAAGCCTACTAAACTTATCAGTTCAATACGTTACATAAACCAAGTATATTGTATCGAAAATATGGAATCAACTACAATTTAATCTTAGAATTAATCACTATAAGGCTACAAAAAAGCCCTTTGGCCCCCAAATGCCCTGGTACGGCCGAGAGTGGGGAGAGTCCAATCTCCCTCTCGAAAAGCTCTCACATGGCCACGCGTACATAGCCCCTGCCAGGGAAGTCCTACTCACTGCCTTCACGTGGCGGGGGTGTTGTTTACGAAAATGAGAGGACGAAAAGCGAATGTCCGGCACCGGCTTTAACCGGATACCAAACCAATGGTGCACATGGGCCGTCTCCAGTATCCTGACAGAACAAATGGCGTATGAACCAATCGTTGGTCACCGGCTACCATGGGACTGCATCTCCTCACGATGCTCCACTGCCTTGTGGATCAGACGTTCAGGTCAAGGGCTCGGGGTGTGGCCCCCTAAGCAAACCACCTGCTTCGGTTTGGGCATCCGAGCAGTATCACAGCCCTCACACAAATCAATTGAGATTCGTGTGGCGCATATGTACTTGGTGCCTCGTTGTACCAATACCTATGTGTTAAAATAAAATAAATAAATAAATTTGGCCTCTGGATGGTATGACTCAGAATCGACCACAGTGGCGTCGGTGTATACACTCTCTGTTTTCCCTTAAACTATGAGATTAAAATTGCTTTATATCTTTCTTTCTACCTAATAATTATTTCTTGTTGTACTACATACAATCTTTTTTTTTATATATTACTACTATTGAATTAACTACTTCTATGTAGTCGAGCGTGTCGACCACTTCACTTATCTTGGGAATCTCATCAGCCTATGTGGTCTGGTGTGTGACGAAATCTCAGCACGGATACAGAAGGTTCGACTAGCTTTTGCCAACTTGCGAGATATCCGCCTACCAAACAAAGAAGGAGTTTACTGTGCATCAGTTCGTTCCGTCCTACTCTATGGCAGTGAAACATAGCGGTAAGAGTAGAGGACATTCGTAGGTTACTAGTATTTGATTATAGGTGTCTTCGAAGCATTGCCCGTATATCCTTGGACCACCGAGCAAGTAATGCAGTTATTAGGAAACGGTGTAGGAGTAGGTTGGAAGAAAGCTAAGGGTGGCCAGACTAAAACATGGCACAAATCCATGAAGTCACCAACAAGTGGACTGAGCCATGTTATTAGGTGCAGATTACCTGGTTGGGGACCGCGAGATGATATCAACCGGTGGTTAGAGACTTTGAATGACATGGCTCAAAATCGTCTGCGATGGCGCAGGTGCATCCACTCTTTGTGTTCTCACAAATTTCTAATCTGAATTCTTCCTGACCCCAATTTTTTCTTTTTTTAAATTTATTTCACTAGATAATAACATTTTCAAACCATAATGTTTCCGATTACTGCAATTAATTTTACTACCTGTACCATTATGGGATTTAAATCGACAATTGTATCTGTGTACTAATGTGGTATAGAAACTTGAACTGATGTACATACGTACGAATTTCTACGTTGTTACTGACAAATTGAACTACTTCTGTGAATTCGGTATTCATCTTGTTGTGCTAATGGGATATGTAAATTTAGACCGATGCATATATATGCCTAGTTCTATGTTGTAGCTGACTGATTGACTGATCATACAATAAAATCATAACATATTAACAAAATAAACACTTACAATATTTCCACGATGTAATGTTAAATGTATTAATAAACGTGAAACAAAACTAGCTGATAATGGATTAACTGGTTGATTAGAATAATGAAAAAATTTCAATAATACATCTACACGTCGACGTTTAGTCGTTGATGAATTCACTTGAATAGAATCATTTGATTTAATTATTGTAGATGAATGAGGTGTTGACAAGGATATTGGTGATGAAATTTGTAAATTAGATGAGAAGATTTCATTTAAATGATTTACTGAGTTGTTATTATTATTATTATTATTATTATTATTATTATTATTATTATTATTATTATGACTATTGATAAGAGATGATTCATTAATAATAGACATTGAAGATGATAAATGATTGAGACCATCATTATTATCATCATCATTATGAATATTTGAATAATGATCAGTAAGATTATGATTGATTTGGTATAGTTCCGATGAATTATTACCAACTATTAACATATCATTACAACTTTGATCATTGATAATCATTGAAGATGATGGTAAAGGTGAAGAGAAGGAGGATGGTATTGATATAGATTTTATATGATCAGACTCTAACATGCGACTATTATTATTATTATCATTGTTGTTATTATTACTATCATTATTATGTGACTCATTGGGAGTATGTTGATCAATTGTGGATTCGGTTAATTCAATTATCCCGTCTAGTATTTCATTGATATCATTTGTTAGAATTTCACAAGCTAAACTAGAATATCTGAACAAAAAGCAGAAAACATTATAATTATTATTTTAACACATAGATATTGGTACAAGGAGGCACCAAATACATATGCGCAACACAAATCTTATTTGATTTGTGCGAAGGCTGCCATACTGCCCGAGTGCCCAAACCGAAACAGGTGGTTTTCTTAAGGGGCCACACCCCGAGCCTTTGACCTAAAGGTCTAACCCACAAGGCAGTGGAGCATCGTATGGAGATGCAGTCCCATGGCAGTCGGTGACCAACGATTGGTTCATACACCATTTTTTCCCTCAGGATACTGGAGCCAGCCCATGTGCACCATTGGTTTGGTATCCGGTTAAAGCCGGTGCCGGACATTCGCTATTCCTCCTCTCATTTTCGTAAACAACACCCCCGCCACGAGAAGGCAGTGAGTAGGACTTCCCTGGCAGAGGCTGTATACGCATGACCATGTGAGAGCATTTGGAGAGGGAAAGTGGACTCTCCCCACTCTCAGCCGTACCAGGGCGTTTGGGGGCTTTTAAATTAATCAAGTTCTAAATAGTTTACCATAACTAATCCGACCGTAGCTGCTACTATGACTTAGTGGTCGAGTTTGAAGATTGTAATAACCGAATTAAGATGTATTGTCTGAAAAACGTTTTATTTTAGAGCGTACTATGCCAGATAGATCGGTTGGAGAACGGTAAAACTAAAGGCAATAATATAAGATCTAAGGGTAGAGTCATGCCGCTGATTATACAGAGGTGTGTCAGCATTAAGATGTGGTTGAAGATCTACAGCGCTGTTGCTTACTCCCGATGGAAAGAAGAGGTTAGAAGAGATCGTTACCAAAAATGTATCTTATCTTACTCCAGAGCTCTATGTCTTTGGTAGCAAGGCCTTCTGAAGTTCAAGGCCAATACATCGAAAACTTGCCACAAAATCATCGTGTGTAACTGGCTCAAGCAGCCATCCTTTGGATTTTACGATCACGCTCCCAGGTCGTTGAGAGCACAACTAAACAAGTTGCCTATTGAGGTTCCCCAAGACGAAAATAGCCGACAAGGTTGTGGGCACCTGGAAAGTGACAACTGCTACAATACTGCCACAATACTCTACAAACATACATGTAACGAATATAACCTTTTCTTTACAAGTAATTAAATATTCACTTCTTTTATAAGGAATGCCTACGATGTAAATATACCTAAAGAGAATAGAATGGCATTAAATTTAAGTGCCGAAACGGGACGGCACAATATAGACTTTACTAACTTATATCACTAAATTGCATGAAAATAAAACTTTCAAGTTTATGCCATCCCTCTCAATACAATTTTAAGGCAGCAAGAAATAACGATCAAATGGTCCGATTTATTACTAAACTTATCATAAAACGATAACCGTTGGAGAACTACTGGAAACACTGATCAATGATGTTTTAACTGTCGCAGTAGTTAAAGATTGTTTGTGCACACTGCTGACAATTTTTTTTGTCAATACAAACCAGCTGCTCAGGACTCTCTTACCTGACGCCCCCAAATGCCCTGGTACGGCCGAGAGTGGGGAGAGTCCGCTCTCTCTCTCCAAATGCTCTCACATGGCCATGCGTCTATAGCCCCTGCCAGGGAAGTCCTACTCACTGCCTTCTCGTGGCGGGGGTGTTGTTTACAAAAATGAGAGGACGAAGAGCGAATGTCCGGCGCTTTAACCGGATCCCAAACCAATGGTGCACATGGGCCGTCTCCAGCATCCTGAAGGAACAAATGGCGTATGAACCAATCGTTGGTCACCGGCTACCATGGGACTGCATCTCCTTACGATGCTCCACTGCCTTGTGGGTCAGACGTTCAGGTCAAAGGCTCGGGGTGTGGCCCCTTAAGAAGACCATCTGATTCGGTTTGGGCACCCGGGCAGTATCACAGTCCTCACACAAATCAATTGAGATTCGTGTGGCGCATATGTACTTGGTGCATATGTGTTAGTATCCTGTCTCTTATCTGACGTCAATTCATGATTAGATTTGCTTTCAAACTAGATAATAAGGTTTTATTTATTTGCTTTTTAGTTAGCATACATTAGTTCACTCAGTTAATATAATGTTTGTACAAAGTACACATAAAAATTGTAAATTAAGACGCGTGTTCCATCTTGTTTTTGACCTATCAAATGGATGTACTGTACTATAGTATTCATATCCAAAGATTCGAGTCCCACCCGTACATCGACATTTACTTGAAAAGAATTATGCACATTCTGCTTAACAACAAATTTGATCAATTGTACAAATATCAATCCGCATTAAATTCATGAGAACGACATTAATAAGTTAGAAAGCTAACGAACTGATTGGTTTAATCATAATAATGTGTATACTTATCAAAATATTGTTGTGCTATCTCTATCTCAATAAGTAAATACATTGATGTGATTAAGGAAATCAGTTTATCAGCCTTCAAGCTCTCTGAAAACTGTTAAGCCAACTTTTAACAGGTAAATTGAATTTATCTTTGGATTTGTTGACTCGTGACTTGTTTTATGCTGAGTATTTTCTTAAAAACAACCAAGGTTAACGTAAACCATCAAATGTTTATAAACAATCGAAGCTGAAGCTAAGAGCTCTTTGTTAGAAATAAAAGAGAAAAGAATACCTCTAGTAAAACAGATAAACAAGCGCTAACTAATTGAAACATGAAACTGAAGTCGTTACTACTGGACAATAACCTTTAAAACACTATACAACATACTCTTAGTAGTACTCAGTCATCAGAAACATTTGTTTAGAATGTTTAATGGTTAATACCACTTGGATGATGGAAACCAAACAGATGTAGTAAAGTTTAAGTATATAGCCCACTAGTTGGATGTTGTGTTTAGGAAAGATGAAAGTATGATTGTTAAAAAGAAAACAAGCAAATACAATTGATAGAAAAAGACTTATCAAAGACTAAATAATTATAATTGAACTCACCTATACAGATCTCGATTAAAAACAAAAGATTCGGGTGTTCGACTAACTAAATCTATTAGATAATCTAAATTATCTGACCTTGATAAACTAAAGAAAGAAATGATGAGTAATTCCAGATAGATGAATAAAAAACTTACAAATCAATTAAACGTGGATCTTTTTCACGACATTTTTGTAAAACATCATCATCATCCAGAAGTTCTTTGATTGTGAGATTCTATAGAAATAAGTATGAAGGAAGAACATGGACGATACATACCGGTCGTGATAAAAGATCATTGATCTGTGAATATGCAAAAACAGATTCCCAGAACATGGCTGTAAGATTTGTAAAAAAAATATATATATTTACATTGATTGTTTTGTAAAGAAATTAAATGTAAAACTTTTAACGTAACAAAAACTGACAGTGAATTGAATCCTCAAAATATTACTACAAAGACTCTGAACTTAGATAACAACAAACTAAGTATACAATGTAGGCTACTATTCACAACTTGTGTGAACGCCACCGATATTGTCTGGACTCTATTAGACTGGATCCCCGTTAAAAGTCGCCTATTTGCTGTTCAGCTAAAAGGCTCCGTAAGAACTTGGAATGAGAGGGGGACATGTCGTTGACTTTTTATCATTTCTGCCACCACTGACTGTAGCTCGCATGAAGTGAAAGATGACTTTCACAGAAAGCTTTCTGAACTTCATAAAGCTAGACACTCAAACATAGTACTCGTGGCACGTGTCTTCAATGCCCAAGTAGGTAGCTTAAATCAAACAGAAAGACATTTAGATGGATATTTGAGTATCCCGGCTCAGTGAACAGATAATGGTGACCTTCTGCTGTAACTGTGTTCAGACAATCGTTTATTTTTAGCAAACACTAATCTTAAGCATAAGAAGAGACATTGGCTAACATGGTAACCCCTTGCACTAAATCAACAATGGACTCAATTAGACAACATTTTCATGTCATAGTTGGAGAGGCTCGTCCTTGAGTACATATTTAGACTGTGATCATCCTCTAATACAAGCACGCATTTCCTTGCACCTCATTGGACGTAGAAAAGCCAAATTAAGATCTCAGTGACAAGAAAGCCAAAGGTAAATTCCAGGAAAACTCGAGACCACATTTGGGCAATTCTGAACACGAGATTGACCCATATGTTGTTCGGAAAGATGTATAAACAGCAGTGACATCTGTTGGTGATTTGATCCGAAGTGCCATGAAAAACTAAGTCTATTAAACCGATGGATTCACGTAAAGTCATCCCATCAGGCTCTGAACACGATAAAGAACGAAAACAAGTCAGATCTATGTTAACCAAAAGTCCACGAACGATCGCGAACAGTGGTGGGCAACGAAAGCATAACATATGGAAAAGGCAAGGGCTGTAGGTAACACAAAAGAGCTTTTAAGACTAACAAAAGAAACCGTAATTAGGAAGTCAAGTGTAAGTGAAAAAATCTCGGAAAAAGATGACATTCTAATCTACTTTCAGTTTAGACGTTTACAGCAATGAGCGGAACATTTTAAGGAGCACTTGATATTGTTTTACTTGAATCTTCCCATTGATGTTTAGGACTACAATTGATCGGTCTCTCATATTGGCATATGTGCATACTGTGCGTATTGTCTCAATATTGCCTTAATTTACAAGCATTATAAGCAGACGGTACTGGGTTCGAGTCCCACAGTGAACATCAACTCTGAGATGCAGGCACATCCAGCTGACGAGTCCCAAATAGGACGAAAAGTGCGTCAGTCAGTCAGTCAGTCAGTCAGTCAGTAACAACGTGGAACTTCGTACGTACGTACATCAGTTCGAGTTGCCATACCACATTAGCACAGAGATTCAGTTATCGATTCAAATCCCATAGTGGTAGAGGTACTGAAAGTATAAGTAGAGATAGGGGACATTAAGGTTTGATGATGTTATTAAAGGAGTATAGTCCAGTGGAATAAATTTGCTTATTTTAAGGAGCAATTCAGCTGGATTTCAGCTACCCAACATTTTCAAGCACTCTTAATGGGACATTGATGAATGAAGTTTAAAGTGCTATAGCTAATATGAAGTAAAGAAAAGCAGCTGGTCCAGATGGATTAACTCAAAAGGTCGTTAAGGATGGTGGTCTAGTACTGGCGATTAGATTGACTAATATTTTAGCTAAATTTTGGGAACTAGACGCAGTCCCATCTGACTAGTCGCAATCGTTGATTGTCCAATATATAAGAAGTGGTCAAAATCATATTGTAATAACCACAGAGGGATTGGTTTGACTAACATGACATCTAAAATACTAGCCTCAATAATTGTCGGACGCCTAACAAACACTCGTGAAATGTAAACACGAGGAAATCAGGTTGGTTTCAGACTTAGCCGTGACTGCATCGGCCACATATTCACCATTCATCAGACTTTAGAATACAGGCATGCTTATCGGCGTCCGACAATGGTGGTCTTTCTTAACTTAAAAGCAGCATTTGACTCAATAGACCGTGAAATTATGTAGCAGTATGTCGTTAAAAGGTGTACCTCAGAAGTACATAAACCTTGTGAAGGCTCTTTACTCGAACACTATTAGTCGAGTCACAGCTTATGGCGAACCGTCATCTGATTTTGCAACCTCAAGTGGTGTCCGTCAAGACTGTCTACTATCTCCATTTCTGTTTAATTTTATCTTTGATTGGAAATAACGTTCTCATCATCTGAATTTTCAGGATTTGATCTACCAGGGGGTCCATTTGTCAACTTAGAATACGCAGATGACATAGTCCTGTTTGGTGAAGACTCTGATAAAATGCAGTCTTTTGGTAGCACTGAGCAACAATGCCAGAATGTTTGGGATGCGTTTTTTCCCCTCTAAACGCAAGTTGTTACTTCAGGACTAGCCTGCGTCAACACCTGAACTAAGGACAGGGAGTTAAGTGATCGAACGCGTCGACAATACCAATCTTGAAGTCTGGTCAGCCCTAATGGATTGGTGTGTGACGAAATGTCTGCATAAATCCAAATGCCCGTTTGGCTTTTGCTAACTTCCATCACCTGTGGCGAAGGCGAGATATCCGTCTATTGATAGAAGGACGAGTATACTGCGTGGCAGTTCAGTCCTACTTTATGGCTGAGAAACATGATCATTAAGGATAGGGGATAGTCGCGAGTTACTAGTATTCGATCACAGATATCTTTGAAAAATTGTTTGCATCTGCTGGGATCACCGAGTAAGCAATATTGAGGTCAAATGTACGGTATTAGGGAATGATAGCAAATCAGTTGGTGAGGTGATTCTTTATCGACTAAGATGATTGGATAACGTATTATGCATGCACAACCATCGACTGCCAGGGCGCGTAATATTATATAGTGTTGGAAACGGATAGAAGAAAGTTGGAAGCAGTCAAACCAAAACGTGGCATCAGTCCTTGAACTCACTAACATCTGGTCTGAGCCACATTAATATACGCAGACTACTTGGTTGGGGCCCACATGACTATCTTAACCATTGGTTGGAGACTGAGTTGCATAGCTGAAAATCGACCACAATGGCGTACGGGCAAGACTACAATTTACAGACAAACCAGTCAGACATAAGATAACGAGTCTTGGATTTTGGTGCGAAATTTACCCATACATTTGGAAAATTATCATCTTGGCATTATAGCTGTTAGTTCGTGATGTAAATTATGAATTCCTAACCCTAACCGTCAGCTGTAAATCTTAATGCTGGTTCTCTATCGTCGTTTATAACCCTCATTTGGTCTTAGTTAGTAGGTGGATATTCTAAAGTCACTTTGGCATCGCTCAAAGGTCGTCCATAAATTGTTCAACCACTAAATCTTTCTCCATGGATCACATCCTTATATACGACCTTGTTTTTATATATTACTACAATTGAAATAACTGTTATTATGAATTTGGTGTTTATTTTGTTGTGCTAATGAGGTATGGCAACCTGAACCGATGCATATATGAGCCCGGTCATACGTTGTAACCGACCGATGACTACCTTGATTCCGAACCAATGGTGCACATAGGCTCTAGTATCCTGAGTGAAAAATGGCGTATGAGAGAATCGTTAGTCACCGGCTACCATGGGACGGCATCTCCTTACGCTGCTCCACTGCCTTGCTTATCAGACCTTTAGGTCGAAGGCTTCGAGTTTGGCTCTAAGAAAACCACCTGCTTCGGTTCGGGCACCCGGACAGTATCATAGCCCTCGCGCGAACTAAATGAGAATTGTGTGGCGCATATTTATTCGATGCCTCGTACCAATATTTTTGTGTTCAGATAAAAAAAACAATAAAAACCTCCAGTCCCTAAAATCCACATCACCCGAAATCACAATAGTAAGACTAAGACATAAACCTAGATTACTGTATGTTTTTATCCGGTTTTATTACCGTCAAAAGATGCTTACAATGCTGTTCAAAGTCAATTTAATTACAATACACTCAATGAGCAAAAAATCTCTAGAATGATGTATCATACCGTTAACTGACTACATGATGTTTAGATATGTTTCGTCGCCCAGTAGATATTTGCACGTTCGTTAATAGGAAAATCAACTTATTGCCAGGCTAATTTTAACAATTACTAGCAACTTATTAAAGAGCTATATGTCTCATAACTACACCGTTAACACACTATCCTATCTCGCAGAGTCACCTCGATAGTTTGAGGAGCCGTGCTGGATTTTTATTTACTAACTCTAATACAAAGTCAACCTAACAAGTACACATGTATTTTGATGGTGTAATAGCGCTTCTTATTCTGATGAAAAAAGAAGCTCTAAAAAGGGAATGAGGGCAATCAAATTCGTTAGTGACAATAAATGACACGAATAGTATTCAACATTACCAAGACAAAAATCTACTTCTGGAGTTCAGTTTCCGACAGATGAACGGTCAAATCAATATCGGCTTGCAAAACCCCCAGGTCTGACCTTGAGGGAGACTTAAATTAAAAAGCCCGCACGACTACCGTTAGCAAAAAAATATTTCAAACAGCAATACATTAACTTTCACGGAACAGATAATGTTAAAAAGCTCTCAGAATCAATGAAATGTCAATTCAATTCTCATCAAGAACTGTCATTCTTTGTTTAACTACTTTTGCTACACTACTTTTGCATGGACTGAAATTGATTTTTAAGCATCAAAAAACCATTTCTTGTTTGAAATAAAATTTATTCAACCGCCGAATGAAAGAAATGATATCAATTCAACAATGATTTTTTTGATGATCATTATAATAATGTTTTAAGTGAACATCACAAACTGAAATCTTTTAGGTATTTAGAATAGTTCACTTTTGTGTTAGTTTTCGGGTTCAAAATAGTCCAAATGGTAGTGAATGAAATGGAAGAAGCCTTCACTTGCCGGGATTTCGTAACTGGGATCAATGGCCTATCAGTGAATTCAGATGGAGACCTAAGGGCATTTAAAGAGCGAAAGAGAAGTTTCAGCCAAATCAAATTAAATACCGTCCTGAGTCCTTGATAACTTAACGATTTCACGGACATTCACGGCTTGACAACAAGTTTGTCTGTAAAGTCTTTGTGGTCAAAAGATCTCAAACCCAGTCAAACCGAAATTCAATAATATGTAGTGACCTACTTTTGTCAACAGAACGCGATTGGTTCGATGAAAACAATTATTATTATAACCAATTATACCAGTGACTGTTTTACTGTGCTCGTTTGTTTAACTGTGCTAATAACAGCCATTTTAGTCTTCCATTGTATTCCATTTCTTCTACGCGGTTTTCGACTACGCACGTGTCTTTTCTTGCCGATCGCACCTGTACTCCTTTGGCACGATCTCGGTATTCTATCGATACCACGAGATTGCCAACAAATATATTACGACTACTACTATCATCTGCCTTCTGATTTTTGGCCTACCGGAATCTTATTGGTATATTGGCACGTAGTCTTGTAGCGGTGTTCATAGTTAAGCTCAACTAGAAACCACGCTACAAATATAGGAGGTTGGATATATTTTTTCCATGGTTGAGTAGTATTTTATCTTAATCGGCTCGTTCTTGGGAGGGTGTATCTAATGATGGTTTGGCGCAGGTGCATGACCGAGAACCCTCAGCTAGTTTCTGTTTCTTAAGGTCGATTCGATCAAGACCAACTGCAAGAACTTACTGAACTATCTATTCCGCGGATTTGTTTACCTCTACAAATGTGTATATGATTGGATAATTGGAATAATGTTTAGATAAGACTGTGGTTGGAGGTAGTCAACAGGAAACTCTGAACCTAGGTTTCGTGCTACTGGACACTCATTAGCAAGGTGTACTTGTAATTTTGAGCTATCCGTGCAGCAGCTGATCTCCTGTAGGGCTGAGATTTACAACCCTACTGTTCGATCTTCACGGCCTACATCTTCCTATTCAGGAGTTGAATAGTAGGCTCCATTTTCATGCTTTTTGCTGACTGGCAGAAGGATCTTAGAATTAGATTAGGCAGTTTGTGCATTCACAAGACCTTGCCTTTCGAGCATTGTTGACAGTGAACTTTGATTGCTTTTAGCCATTATACGATGATCATTCGAACTTCTTGTTCAGGTTAGCCTGAATGCATAACACACTTAAAAAAGACAAAGAGAATCTTACTGAATAAAAACCCTATTTATCTACAAATAGTGTAGAACTTTAATATGTGTAAAAAGTGGTTCATTACGGCAATGGCCAATTCCATGGTGTAGATTGAATAGTCCGCGTTAATTGTTTTTGACTTTGACTGCTAATTATCAACTACTTAAAGTCCAGAGAATAATTTCCATAGGTTATAATACTCATCAAACGTTTTCGCACTCCATTTACATAGAGAAATTTATTGATCATATTAGTATTAAGCTATGTGAAATCTGATGTTTTACATACCGTATGTTTTATAAACTGATGATTTGGAATATATATACATGTTTTAGTAATAAAGTATTGCAACTTGGACGGATGCATATATGTGCCGGGTTCTATGTTGTAACTGACTGATCGACTGATTGATATACGTGGTTTTATTGTTTAAAAAAGATTTCGTTCATAAAAGCTTATTCGAAGTAACAAAATTGACTTTAAACAGAGAAAATATATCTATTACTGTGTCGAATATTATGTTAGGCACATATACCTTATTCTAGCATTCGGAAAGCTCAATCTATTCTTCTGACCTTATTAATTATTCTCTTATCACTCTTAACTGTTTTTATATGGTTAAAATAGTTCAAATGGTTGTGGACGGAAAAGAAGGAGCTTTCGCTTAACAGGCTTCCGTGTCTAGTAGCAAGGGATCACCAATACCTCTAGGCAGGAACCCAGGTATATTAACGATAAAAAAGAAAAAAAAGAATTCATAAATCATAGTAAGGTACTATCCTTAGTCCTTAAGAATAGATCAAGTCGCCTCTTAAAGGACTCCTGGAAAGTTGCTCGGACTAGCTCAGCTGGCAGCAAATTCCAGCATTTGACAACTCTTAAGGAGTAGAAGTTGTGTCTGCAGTCCGTTCTACTATGTTGTATTTCTAATTTTTGGGTGTTACCCCTTAGGTTAGTGTTGGGTCTAAGCTTAAGTAGGTGTTTAAGAGGATGTCCAGGAGTGTTAAGGATACTGTTAGCCATTAGAAGGTCACATCTAAGACGCCTATACTCTAATGGGTGAAGGTCGAGTGATTGGAGGCGCTCATCGTAAGGTTTAAATTTGAGTCCCCGAACTGATTTCGTGGCTCGCCGTTGGATACGCTCCAGAGTGTCTTTATTCTTTTGGAGTGTAGGAGGAAATACTATGTTTCCGTACTCTAATGGAGACGAATGAAACTATTGAAGATTATGTGGAAAGTTCTCCCGTCAAACTGACCAAAAATGCGCTCCAATATTACCGGTGCCAGGTTTGCTCGAAAGGCATTTCTGTCACAGTTGGCGTAAGCTTTCAAGTCGTAGGCCAACAGAACTCCTAAATTTTTTTCGACTCGGGATACTACTAGAGAGGAGTTTTCTAAGTTGTAACTGCAATCTGCGACGTGTCGCAGATGGACTACTTTACATTTTGAGGTGTTAAAGGTAAGTCCGTTGTCATCTGCCCAACTTTGAAGTCGAGTCAGATCCTCCTGAAGTGCCTGTATGTCCTCTTGGTTGCGTATCTCTTTTCAAAGTTTCACATCATCGGCAAAAAGCAATATGTCTGACGTTACCTGTTGAGGAAGATCATTTATATAAATGAGGAAGAGGAGAGGTCCTAGTACTGAGCCTTGAGTGACCCCACTAGGACATTCCATAGCCTATGTGAAATTAAAGTTTTCCCTAACCTCAAAATGTCGATTTGTCAGATATGAACTGAGCCAGTCAATCAAAGGAGGTTTGATACCTAATTGTTTGAGCTTGTTAATAAGACAGATGTAGTTAACCCTAACAAAAGCTTTAGAGAAATCATGGTAAGTGATGTCCACCTTCCCCTTGCGATCAACGATGCTTGTCCATCTGTCCACCGCGGTCAGCAGGTTCGTCATACAGGAGTAACCCTTCCTGAAACCATGCTGTTGGGGTGAGAAGAAATTTAAGGACAGCAGATAGTCGTGTATACCATCGTATACCAGGGACTCCATGATCTTTGCGTTAGAACACAGCAAAAGTTTGAGAAATGCAGACCACGTTAGGACGAAAATTCCCGTTCAAAAAGCACACGTATGTATGTGTACACTTCTTATCTCATAACTCATCACATGTCTTTAACTTAGTTTTGTGTAACTATATATATTGATTAACGCTTGGTTAAAACGAAGTTAGCTAACCCGCCATCTCTACTGCGCGTCGTTCCTCTTGTCTCTGTTCCATTCGCTTCATATGCAAAATATATGTACCCAAAAGTTCATTCTTCTTATTTGACTTATTTAATTCCGTTATTGACTAACGTGATTTAAGTCGATGATTATAAATGAGGATAGGCGACACATATGTTTCGACAACTATCATTCAGATAATGAACCACAAAACTATTCCAAATGATCTGAATGGAATATATGGAAGGTAACTGTACGGTTATGTTCTTTTTACCCGTATGTCATCAACTAACTAAATGATATTTTAGCGATCTTAGCTGTTTCAGAACGAAATATACATCTATTCAACCGAACGGAATTGATATTCGGTGGTATTTAGAGAAATAACAACTCTTTTCATATAAGGAGATTTATTTTTTGTATTCACTTGTATGCACAATTGATGTCTTTGCCTTGGAACTAGTCAGAAAATTTTAATTGATCCATCAAATATAAATTATCTATGGAATATTTTGTTACGAATAACCTTCAAATGAAACTTCGTTATTGAGAACAACAATGAAAGCTTTAGGGATAAAATCAATTGGTGTAGAGAACACTATTAGATAATTAAAATAACCCATTGTGTCATTATTGAGTAGAAATAGAGAGAATTCAAAGAAGAAAATTTGCTCTTTCCGACGAATTCATTTAATTAGTCTGTACATTTGTGTATATAGTTATTGTGGAAAATATATGAGAGAAGGGGACGGGGGCGCAACTATGTGGATTGCTTAGACATTAACACCGTTGGATGCCAGCTCAGCGGTTTAGCGGTTAAACGCTCGCTTGCGAGACTGATAATTCATGAGTGAGATCGTGGATGCGCACTGCTGAAGAGTCTCAAAATGGAACGCCCGGTGATTCCAAGTTTTTCATGGTTGTCTGGCTCCAAATAACTCATGAACTGAACTACAGAAAATATATGAGTCTATAGAAGGATAGAAGAGATTGCATCACAAACTGATTGGAGACTTATTATTAAATGAGGTTACGAAACAATCGAGGGGTAAGGAAGAAATATAAGAATGAAAATAGTTTACGGGTCAGATAATGGTCCAGTTGACAGATATTGAAGAAAAACGACAAACGTAAAGGTCATAATAAAAAAGTGGTGGTCTAGCTCCAATCGACTCATGA